CTGATCAGAATTACTGCAGATACATATTTGTCTTTGAGTTTCTTCACAATATTTTCAGTTAAAATATTTCTTACTTCACATTCTCTCATACAATTAGAGTATTTCCCTGGTATATGAAATGTGAAATGACCAGCATATATTCTGGCTGGATAAGCCAGCAACGAAGTACAAGGAGTCAGCAGGGATGGCTCCAAGGCAAGCCATGGACCACCTGGCATTTCTTCCACCCCATGAAGCTCCTCACCTGTCAATAATATGAAATGTTATAATAGTAATTTTCTACCAGTCAAGGTTTGAGGTAACAAAACCTCCTGACAGACCTGTCCTGATAGCATGGCCTGGATAGTAACTGGTGATATGGCAGGAGTGTGAATGTAAACAGCCCATGTGGACAGGACACCTAAAACTGCCTGCTCTGAGCAGAGGTTACCCCAAAACAGAATGAAATGGGAAACAAACAATGACAAGGTTTGTTTACAATAGGCATCCGTTAGCAACCAGGGGATTACCAAGAGGCTTTCGAGAAAAGAGAAATCTGGAGAAGTATAAAAGATAGAAGGCAACCTGTGACTGCGGAGTGAGACCTGGGAGCGGGAGGGCATTGAGCACAGCAGCCAGACTCCCACCTCGGGGTCTGCCAGGAGCCACCCCGCTGCCACCATGCCCCTGTCCCAGCCGGACGCAGCGTCCTCCCCGTGCCACGCAGAGAGCAGGGCTGCCAGCGCTGCGTGCAGCAGCAGAAGGACCCAGAGCTCGGGGTGCGTGCTGGAGCGCATGGGGTGCCTTCCTGCCAGCACACTTACCCGCGGGCGGCTGTCAGAGCCAGAGCAACCCCACCTCTGGCAGGAGAACGTGTGTGGCTGAAAGAGCCGTGCTGTAAGAGAGGGGTGTGCACACATGAGCGTGCTCCTGCACCATTAGAAATGGTGGGGATTAGGGTGTTTAGAAACTTGTAAATGCTCTTTAACATCTTGCAAGTGTTTTGCACTCTGGTTTATCTGTTGGATGGCTGATACTGATCCAGAATGCGAAGTCCTCTGACTGCCAGCTAATGATGTGTCATTAATAAATCAGTAAACCACTTTGATCCTGGTTTGAGCTCAACCACATAAGTCGAGCAAGTCTTCCCTGCCACACTCCTTTGTGTTAAAAAAGTCATATGCTATTAAAAAAACAGTAAGCAATTACCTTAAGTACCCCTGAATTACACTCAAGTTACAATAGCTCTTTAACTCAGATGATTGACTATTTCATTTCCTAGCATAAATGTAGTTAGAAACTAACAAGCTGCTTCTTGATCCTCTAATTATATTGCTCATCATCTCAAAGAAAGTTGCTAGTTTGGTGCATTCCTGTCCCATTCCTCTCTATATGTGGTCACCCTTTAATATAAGCTTGTAATAGAGAAAGAAATTTCTTATTTGTAAATTATGTTTCAGTAGGTAGTCTCTCCTCACACACGTCAGTGTTATTTGCAGCTGAACCACTGAATTTGGGAAAACACCTCCCAGATGAAGAAACTGTCTATAGTTTCTCATAGTCGTATGCTGTAACTAAGGAAATTAAAAATACTCATGGGCTAAGAGACTGCAGAAAGAGCAGAATGAAATAAAAGTTTCCCATTCAGAAAAAAACATTGAAAAGAAAAATGTAACTAAACCTTTTGGATCCTCAAATATGAACTGGGAAGCAAAATGGTTCAATGATGAGTTCCAGAGAAACAACAGATCCCGTAGAATTTTACCGAAAATACTAATCATGAAACACAGCAAATAAATTTAAAACATAATACAAAGGTACCATGAAAGAAATACACATATAATTGTTATGAATTTAATAGGAAAAAAAAAAGTTACTGGTCACTTAAAGTTTTAACATAAAAAGAAGCTCTAGCAAGTGGCCAGCCTATTACTGCTAGAGCTCGCCCCAACTTCAGATGTTAAGTTGCAGGTGAGGGCATCCTTCCATCTGCGGTCAGGCCCTCAGCAGGACCAAGTTCAATGTCAGAGGAAAAACCCTGTATGGAAGGCCTCCTTTTTATTATGGAAGCACTAACGTTAAACTGCTTTACTGCAGATAGGCAAGGGCATGTCCCTTATTTGCCACCCTGTTTCCTGGGAGGGTAGATCCATTAGATTAGCTTTGTTATCCTGCAGTTACTTAAACTAGTAGGATCTTGTTTTGTTTGATTTGTCTTTCTTTCACATCACTCTTTGGCCTGAAAGCATAAAAAGTTGCTACCCACTCTTTAGATTAGAAACAATCTTTTCACTCAGTATGTACATACTATTTAGTATAATGGATATATGATTAGGGCTCTTTTATACAATGCCAAAAAGTCCACAGATTTGCAAGTAGAAACAGAAAGTTATTATTTTCAGAGCTACATTGGAAAACAGAGATGTAATAAAGCACTATAAAACTCCGTTACAGGAATAGGCACAGAAGGCTGCACCTATGAAAACTAACTCAGTTCAAAGAGCAACATACTTTATGGTAAAGAAGAATGAAAGCTACACATCTTCAAACTAACATTTCAAGATGTCCCCGATGTGTTCACAGCCTTAGGATGTGGTCTCCTCTGGCTGACACTACACCAGCAGCACTTCCAAATGTGCAAATGAATGGTCACTGCTTGAAAAATAAATGGTTACGCCCATTATCTAGGACTATGTAACTGGATATGATTTATCTGCATGTACTACCACACAAAAAAAAAGGAACATAAACAGCTAAACCAAAGACTACAACAATGGGCAGAAACAGAAGTATTAGGTTAACAGTGTCTGATAACTGGCAAGACCAAACAGGTACTGTTCCAACTAATTATGGTTTCCACGGGATTCAAAGGTGCTTTGAAGACAGCAGGCACTGACAGTATCCATTTGGGCTGTGAAGACATATGGAACCAGGGACAATCAATGCCATGGTACAAGCACTTTAAAAGTTATCTGTCATCTTTCTGGTCTTTCTGGCTTTTGCCTCCAAGCGTGAGCTAGAAGACTCTTTATGCAGGAATTACAGGTACCAGCAATAGCTGACGGGACTCGGACTTTCCAGTGCTGCAACAAACCAATTATCTATTCTGTGGCAATTTCTCTACTCTGGTGAAATGTCACATATGCTTATTTGGCCTTGTCTATACAGAAAAAGAAACAGAAAAGACACCACCACCACCAAAAAAAAAAAAAAAAAAACTCCCCCCCCCAAAAAAAAAAAAAAAAAAACACCAAAAAAACACACGTACACAAGAAAAAAGAAAATCCAAACCAAAAGAAAAGAAAAGAACAACAACAAAAAAATCCCAGAGCCCTTCACTGTACAAAAATAAGAGCAATTAAAATTCATATTCTGTCCTGGAATCAAAGGATGTGGAGCTGTGACTGAAGCACCCTTTATTTCTTGTTTTCCAATAGACTTTCTCTCAAAGACCTTTGCTTTTCTTCTGTGAAAGTGAAGTAATTACTCTTTAACAGTGTTATTGTTTCACTGTAATTGCAAATGCCAAACAAACCATCACAGCTAAGGCAACCACAATGACTACAAGAACCTGTATCTCCCACAGATTTGTCTAATGACACAATCTGAGTACAGCTACAGCATAATCAGAGGATTCTGCCCATTGCTAGCAGGCTGAGACTTAAGGTGTCTTTAAGCAGGCAATTAGGGGATCAAAAATGCACCATATAGTAAGCTACAACCTAAATAACATGCCTGGATACCATGTTTGCTTTGTGTCCTTTTAAATGTTTGTTTGGCTCATCAATCATGTAAAGAAAATACTGAACCTAGCTGGGATGGCTTCATGTATTTGAAAATAAAAGCGAAAAATTGTTATGTGATGAACAAGAATTAGAAGTGCAAGGTTCTGGGGACTAGAAAAGTTTAATTCTCACTGAGACAATGTTGCCACACAAAATTATTTTCTCATGTGCCAGATCACCCATATTTAGACTTTGACACAGAAAAAAAAACCTTCTCTCACAGATGGTCACAAAATCATACGTCAAACTACCTTGACCTTATGACTTGCAATTGCTTAGTGGCCTCTAGTCTTTACAAAAAAAGTGAAAAGGAGATAGTAGTAGTACTCTAGTTCTGCAAGTCATGAATAATATTTGAGTATTTGCTCATTTATACATTGACAAATACCTTTACAGCGGACTGGAGGGTCTCTGAAGCTTAAGCGAATTGTACGTCCTTCTCTGTACATCTGCAAATGGAGAAGTGACATTTCCTCCAGTTCCTCCTCTCTATTAGAGGCTAGTAAGCCTCAGTAAGTTTGCAGATGACACCAAGCTGGGCAGAAGCGTCGATCTGCTTGAGGCTAGGGAGACTCTGCAGAGGGATCTGGACAGACTGGATCGATGCGACAAGGCCAACTGTATGAGGTTCAACAAGGCCAAATGCCGCGTCCTGCACTTGAGTCACAACAACCCCATGCAACGCTAGAGGCTTGGGGAGGAGTGGCTGGAAAGCTGCCTGACAGAAAAGGACCTTGGGGTGTTGGTCGACAGCCGGCTGAATACGAGCCAGCAGTGTGCCCAGGTGGCCAAGAGACCAACAGCATCCTTGTTATGAGGAGCGGCTGAGGGAGCTGGGGCTGTTTAGTCTGGAGAAGAGGAGGCTGAGGGCAGACCTTCTTGCTCTCTACAGCTACCTGAAAGGAGGTTGTAGTGAGGCAGGTGTTGGTCTCTTCTCCCAAGTAACTTTGTAATGGAATGAGAGGCAATAGCCTCAAGTTGCATCAGGGGAGGTTTAGATTAGATACTAGGAAAAGTTTCTGTACTGAGAGAGTGGTCAGGCATTGAAACAGGCTGCCCAGGGAGGTGGTTGAGTCCCCATCCCTGGAGGTGTTTAAAAAACGTCTAGATGTGGCACTTTGGGACACGGTTTAGAAGGCATGGTGCTGTTGGGTGGATGGTTGGACTTGATCTTAGAGGTCTTTTCCAACCTATGATTCTATGATTCTATGATTTTCAACCTAAATGAAGAAATCCTCACTTATCACACCGTAATTTTCCATACAAGTTCCACAGATTTGTCACCATTTGCCACCTTCTGTCCCACAGTTCATTGGAATAATGTCCCTTTAAGCCATCCTTTCTCTTGGAAATGTGAAGCAAAAGACTGAAAGGGTACAGAACACCGGGCAGAAAAACCTCAGGTACAAAGAGCATTGTAACTGGCATCTGGATCCGCCAGAACCAGGGCACACGTTGCAGAAAGTTGTCCAGATACTTCAGCCGAATAAATTCTTCCAATATATAAATTGCAGAGATTAGAGATTCTCACATATGGCTTTCAGGTCTACATATCCCTTCCTGCTAAGAGAGAATACAGTACACCAAATTTAATGCTCTCAAATATTTCTCTCAGCTTACTCACTACAGGAGGATGATAGAACTACTTGTCTTTTATTAACACATAACTTAGACAATTTTACTGTTTAAATACTGTTCTTAATTTTATCTGCCTATAAACCATGATGTTGATAAAAGACTTGGGGTTTTTTTGTTATATTCAAATACATACATAATCTGATAATATCCTTCAAGAAAACAGTGAAGGCTCTATTCTATAAGCTCTTACATAAACATATAATAAACCCCAGCTTGACTCAGAAATATTTGCCCTATTTCTCCAGCACTTCTCACACATGGCAAGGGAGACTTGCAGGTAGGGCTGGAGCTCAGAATTACATGAGCAGGTAAGAACACATTGTATGTATTTGCTTTTATTTTATTTTTAATAGCTAAGGATGCTATTATCAGCATCTCTCAACTTATCGTTAATTGGTCAGTATCTGTCATGGAAGTTAGCCTGGAAAAGGGATTTAAAAAGAAGGAAATAATGAAGAGCTTTAAAGTCAGCTGGGAGGCCAGGTCACGTTTTGAGAAGCACAGATAAAAGCAGCAAAGCCAGGATAACCGGGAAGTGGAGGTCTTCACTATCACCGAAGATATATTAAAAAAATAGCAACAGATAGGTTCAAGAAGGGCTTTGAAGCTGAGGCCCAAGATGGTGTGTGACAGCAAGGAGCCAGAAAGGGAAGCGGAGAAGGAAGCATTTCAGAACAGGACCAGCCAGAGGAAAGCAAGGGCAGGCAGAGGAGGGCAGGCAGCCTGGGGAGCAGGCTGCAGAGCCGCCAGCTCCTTTGGCTTCACTCGTGTGGATCAGGTAAATCACTTCAGGTTCCAGTGGAAGGACATGTCAGCCCCGTACTGACTCAAGGTGAAGCAGTCCAATGTTTCCCTAAAGGACAGACTCCTTGTCAAGCGCAGACTTAAACCAGCTTCATTAGATACGACTTTTTAGATCGGCAGCATCTCAGTGGATATTTCTTAAGGACGTCTTATTTTACTTTAACTTGAGCATGTTATTTGCCAGTGCAAGCTAAACTGAAACAAATGTTGCTACAAGCACCGTTTTGCTAGTTAAAGAGTAGCATCTTAAAATCGTATCTGCTAAAAATGACACTCCAAGTGCACTGCCCTGCCTAGGTCAGACGTATCAGCACAGTCATGGTCCAAAGGGGATGTCGCTGCTATGATACAGCATAACTAGAAAAAGGCCAGAGAAGAATGACGAGGAAAAACAGAGGTATGGTATAGACTGGCTGCTGGAGAAGGAACATTGAATATGCCAGGGCTCATCACCTTGGAAAAGAGAAAGATGACAACGACTATGACTGACATCTATAAAATCCAGTGGCACAGTAGCTGAGTATGGATAAATTGCTCACTTACTCTTCCAACAGAGGAAGCTTCACTTGAAGCTGGGAGAAGACACATTCAAACTGAAAAAGGTGAACGCTCATGGAACAGCTGACAGACCTGTGCAGTTCACTGCTGCATGATGGGTGCAGGGTAAAACTGGACAAGTATCATGAGGAGAAATCCACTGCCTCACTAAACAGGCAGAAACCATATGCCGTAAGATGCAGAAGGCTGGAGAACGGGAAAGTATTAGGAGGCATTCCCACACATCTCTGACCTTACCTGCTGGTGGCTGCTCCTGGGGGCTGCGGGATATCAAGCTTGGATATTATAAAAGAACAGCCACCTTGTTCTTATACAAAAGTATTCTCTGTATTTCACTTGAAACACAGTATTGTTTCCTCAAGGAGTATAATAATTCTCAAACTATTTTGCAAATCACAATTCAACTTTTATACATTCAGCATCTGTATGTTGCTAAACAATTTGTGTTGAAAGATTTTTATTTTACTGTATTTTCCATTTTGAAATATGAAGGTGATGTAGCATCCTAACTGCAGACGCAATTATACCCATATGAGCCCTAGAACTAGTGTAATCTTTCCCTGTATTTCTAGGTATTTAATTACTGTGGCGATAGATATATACAAGTCCTAACTAATAATGGCATGTAATATTTTTGGTTATATCAGATGTAAGATGGCGCATGATCCAGGTAACAATTAAGATTGTTTTTTGTAAGTGGACGGAATTTGTTGTTGGATGGTAGTTGTGCTACTGTCACCTGAATGGTCAGTCCTTCTGCCTCCAAACGCCCTTCTGCATATTTCCTACATCAAACGTCTTAAAAATCCTGAGGACATCTTGCATCCTCATGAGACTGTATAGCCTTGTTACCCAAAACGTACTGATGCAAGCGGAATGAGGCAGCACAGCAGACAAACCGCAGGGCACATCATGTGATGAACGTAGCTAACGTAAAGCCCAGTATCCCAGCTTGCCAAAAGCAAACAGCTTGCAGGGGGCCTAAAGGCAGGGCAGGCTTGTGTGACATACTGCTAAGGCTCCCCCAGCATCCAGTAGGTAGGCTAGCAGATGAGAAGAGATCACAAAGTCCATTATCATCTGAGAAATCCTGACACAGTCATGTCTAGGATGGCTTGTAATGGTTTTCAGAGAGACCTGGATTTCATGCACTTTACAGATAAGCTCTGAATAACCTAAGTAGTGCTGAATAGCCCATTGCTCAGTGGTTTGCGTAGGAAATCTCTCAAACCTTGTGCATCATCATATAAAGTCTCTGCAGTACAGGCGAAGATAAAATCTAATTTTACAGGGGCAGCACTCCACAGTCTGCTCAGCATCGCACCTGCCCTTCTCTCCCACCAGCCTCCTGCTCTAAACACCCTCCAGCTCTCCCAACAGCTCAGCAGGTCTCCCAGGTAAAGGTCACTCCAACTGCACAATGGTGTTCTACCGGGTTGTATCTGGTCCCGTGCCTGCAGCAGGACCCCACAGGAAAGCAGCCTGTGGGCAAAGCACCATTCCCCGTGCCTCTGCACCCCACCAAAAGTTGCCGCTTCCCAACGCTCTCCCTCCTGCCTGCCAACCCCGCTCCGACCCTGCCCCCTGCTCACCGGCCTCCGACCTCATCATCCTGTCCCCATTCCCTCCTCATTTTAAGCTCTCCTGTCACTTCTGCTCCAGTCACTACTCCAAGCTCGGGCTTTCATAGAATCACAGAATCATAAGTTAGAAAAGACCTCTAAGATCATCAAGTCCAACCATCCGCCCAACAGCACCATGCCTACTAAATGATATCCCAAAGTGCCACATCTACATGTTTTTTAAACATCTCCGGGGATGGGGACTCAACCACCTCCCTGGGCAGCCTGTTCCAATGTCTGACCACTCTCTCAGTACAGAAACTTTTCCTACTATCTAATCTAAACCTCCCCTGATGCAACTTGAGGCCCTTGCCTCTCGTTCTATTGCTAAGTTACTTGGGAGAAGAGACCAACCCCTGCCGCACTACAACCTCCTTTCAGGTAGTTGTAAAGAGCAATAAGGTCCTCCCTCAGCCTCCTCTTCTCCAGGCTAAACAGCCCCAGCTCCCTCAGCTGCTCCTCATAAGACTTGTTCTCTAGACCCTTCACCAGCCTCATTGCCCTTCTCTGGACATGCTCCAGCAACTCAATGTCCTTCTTGTAGTGAGGGGCCCAAAACTGAACACAGTACTCCAGGT